ATGTTTTCTGCTGAACGTCCTAGAGTAAAGTTTTTAACGTATTTCGCTTTTGATAGTTCTTCAAAAACTTTTACTGATAGGCGTCTGATGTAAGAATTCAAGTTTTCTATTTTCAGTTCTTTCTAATTTGCCTCTTTGACACATACCATGGTGCTTTACTTATGCGACTTAAACATTTATTTTGAACTACTTGGATTTTCTCTGGGTTACTTTTTGCAGCTCCATCCCAGACAGGGCAAGCGTAAATAAGTGATGGTCTAATAATGAATTTGAATAAAGTTATCCCACAGTCTATGCTTAGTGAGGAGTGGCTATTTATGAGTGGATATAGTTTTCACGTATTAGCTTTTGCTTTAATGTGATGTTTCCAGGTTAGTTTTTGGTCTAGAAGTACTCCTAAATATTTCACTAGTTGATCTTTTTTTATCCATTTTAAATTTATATTTTCAATGGATTGTGGTTTGGGCATTTTGGGTCTTCGAAGCGAAACTACAAATTTTAATCAAAATCGATGGCGCCATTTTTTTTTAAGTTTTGAAAATGTCCAAGGGTTCAAGTACTCCTTGTGGGTCCTTGATACCGAAAAATCAATTGACGGCATAACGTCTGTCTGTGAACAACGCTAGCGGCTAAAGTAATCTGCCGATTTTCTCCAAAATTGCGTCCCTTTCAATTTGAAAACTATAACTTTAATTTTGGAGGATACTTCACAATAAGCCCCTGGACATTTTCAAAAATTTCATTAAAGTGTCCCAATCATTTTTTATTTCATTTTGTTGTTAGATAGTGTAAAGGACGTTTAAGAAAATGCTGCAGATCTCATATTCGTTGAAGCTCTGATTTTTCTAAAATTGCACAAATTCAAATGCTTTTCGGTGCCGTCTTACAACTAGAATTATGGCGTTAGAGATTTTTCCCCTTAATGTACACTTTTTTTGAAAACGAGTACTTTTCGCGTAATTTTTCATGAAATATATTCATTTTTCAATTTTGTTTAAAGATTTTTTCCTCAAACGGCTAGATCATTTTTATTAAATTTTGTTGTCGGATAGCGTAAAGGACGTGTAAAAGAATGGTGCAGGTCTTATGTTCGAAAATTGAAAAAAATCAAAAATTTTTTGGCGCAAGCAATTTTTACTTTCTCTCTACTGCTTACGCGATAGAGAGAAAGTTATGTAATGCTGCGCGAAAAAAAACCGGCGAATTTTCGGCAGAAAAAACTTATTGCCGGGCTGTAAACGAAAAAGTGGATAAATCCAGTTACTAAGTTTAAAAAAATTCTCTAACGCGTGGTGTAACCAGAATTCATGTTTACTGGCGTCTTATACCGAAAAATCGATTGACGGCAAAATGTCCATCAGTCTGTACGTATGATGTATGTGAACAACACTAGCGCCTAAATCATTCGTAGGATTATTTCCAAATCGAAGAAACCCGTCCATTTGGCCTGAGACAAAGCTCTGCGATTTTGAAAATCATTCACTAGTTTTGTGGGTAATTTACATGAAGCCCTTGGGATACTCAAAAGTTTCTCAAAAATAGCTCTAATTTTTTTCTTTAAATTTCTTGTCAGAATATACTAAAATACACTTATAATATACAACAAATTTTCGAAAATTGCAAAAGTTTAAATTTCTTTCGGCGTCTTCCTACAACTATGAACTTGAAGATACACATTTTTCCTTAAATAAAACTTATTCTCCATAATCAGTACTTTCATTAAGGTCGCGTACATTTTTTTAAACTTTAAGTAGTTTTCAGGCAATATTTTCACATTAAAAAAATTACAAAAAAGGCTCTACATTTTTTCATTAAACTTTTGGCAGGGATAGCTCTAAATTCACTCCATACTATGACATAAGCGCCATATTGCTTTATTCTTTGTTTTCTCAAAACTTACAAGAATATCATTTGTTGACTTCTCTCTCGCGTTGTTAATATTACATTAGCGGCAATTTGTTCACATTATTATATTTATAAGTACATTGATTTAAATAATGTCAGAAAGTTTCTCGAAAACAAATGTTTTCTGCGAAAAATAGCTCAAAATTCGTCATTTTCAGAAACGCTCAAACGCCATTTTCTCAAAATCGGGTCCAAATTGTCTTTCAAACGGCTAGTGATAATTGCAATCTGTAATATGTCAAAGTTCGGACGGAACGGACGAACGGCCAGATCGATCCTCAATTTTTCGACAATTGAAAAGAAAAATAATCAAAATTGGAGATAAAGATTTTTGTTTCAGACAAAGACTGTTGAACAAAATTAGCTCTTCAAGAAAAATCATATATAATTTTCTGGAAAAAAAAAATGTTTTTTTACTCATGTAATAATAGATGATAAAAATATGGTGCTAGTCCCATTTTCGGGTATTGCTTGGTTTCGCAAAAATTAAAAAAAAATAATAAAAACAGGTTTTAAAACTACAAAATTGAAGATGGAAATTTTTGCCTCAGACAAAGTCTATTGTACAAAATTACTTCTTCAACAAAGATCTTGTCAAATGATTTTGAAAAAAACGGTAGTTTTTGCGTATTTTACGATAATAATTTACAAAAAGAAAAAAAAAGTTCTCAACATCTTCTCAAAATTTTTTCTTTAAATTTTCTTCACGTATTTAATAAGGAACCGTAAGTAGTGATAGTCTGTTTTTGTTTTTCAACTTTTTCTAAAATTGCAAAAAAAGAAAGAAAGAACGAAAAAGAAAAAAATGCAACTACAAACTAAATATCATTTTGGCTCCATACAAAGTCTTGTACAAAATTAGCTCTTTAAAAAAGTCTTTGTACAATTTTTTGAAAAAAACTAGTAGTTTTTGCGTTATTTCTGGTTAAAATTAATGATTAATTTCATTATGTGTGTGCGTGTACGTGTGTGCGTGCGCGTGTACGTGCGCGTGTGTGCGTGCGCGTGTACATGCGCGTGTGTGCGTGCGTGTGCGTGCGTGTGTGTGCGTGTGTGTGCGTGTGCGTGTGTGCGTGCGTGTGTGTGTGTGCGCGTGTGTGTGTGC